AGAGGTCTTTGAACACAAGGAAAACTTTTGTTTTTTATTTCAATAAATATATCCAAGTAGCACGAGACCAATCATCAATAAAAGTAGCAAATATTTAAAGCCGACATAAGAATCAACTGGGGCCGGTCCCCACACATCAAAATGTATCAAATAAAAAGGTTCATTTGAAATATACATAGAAGACTGAAAAGGAAGTCTTGTATGTTTTAAGAATTTACAGACTTCACAAGAATGAGAGTTTAAAGATAGAGAGGGCATCAAAAATTTTAAAACTTTATCTGAGGGATGTTCAAATCTCCAATGCCACAATTTATTAATAGCGGAATTATCTTGACTGACAATAAAAGTCTTATTCTCCTGATTAATAAATATAGTCCATGAGATAGTCTTCCTTCATCAATCTTCTTCCCCATGACACGGTCTTGGAAAGTCCCCATGGCCCGGTCTTTAGTAATTTTACTAACAAACATCAAGTTAGATGAAAATGATGGCATAACAGAACTTCAGAGTTACGAGATTTGGAGAAGAAATTCATCCTACCAACATTATGTACAGGAATCAATGAACCATTAGCAATAGACACATTGTTAATATTTTTCTTGTTTTTGAAGTTGGATAGACTATGATTTGTGGCCCCTGAGTCTATTATCCAAGGAAAAGTGTCGCTAGAAGACATGAAAGCAGTGCTACTTGTGTCTGGGAATGAAGAAGAACGATCGTGTGTGGAAGAAAAACCATTTTGTTACTTGGTTGATGGTAATGATCAACGCTTTCTTCAGAAATTTTGAAATTGAGATTTATGATTTTATTTCTATTTATGTGTCTAACTTTAGATTTTCCAAAGAGAGAACGTGAAACGGTTTTCCACCAAGCAAGATAATTAAGTCCGTTTAAAAGAACAATAGTAAGTTTCATGCTAGAGTTATGTTCTGAATTTGTCATTATAAAGAAAAATCGGGAACCAGAAGACTGACTTGATCAATAGCAAGAGCGATAAAAGAATGGAAGTCCTTCAATCAGAACTGATCGAAGATCCCAATGAGAATTATAATTCATCTCTCTAGAAATTGTCGATGTGCATACAACTGCCAGTGAATTAATGCTTACAGTGCCAATAATAATTGCTTTCTCTCTCATCACCTCGATTCTTATGCGATTCAAATATCATTTAGACGTGCTTCCAACACATCAACAAGGATGAGAGGTACGGCAAGTCCGCATCAATAACTTGGTCGACTTGAGGGGAGCACAAAACGTTACCGTTCGCAAGAGAGCCATTTGCAACAGATTTGCATTGCGTGAGGATGCTCTTTGGCTCTACATAGAGTCACGAAAACATTAGTTTGTGAACCCTTTGCACCAGCCGTATAACCCTCACTTTGCAAAACCTTTGCGGCAACAATATGAACGTCGGTAGTATGTAAACCTTTTGCAGCCACAATAGCAACTTCCCTTGCAAACCAGTATGCAATTTGAAAAATAATAGATGAGGATGCCTAATTGTATGGGCTCAAAGTCTAAAATAAAAATTTTAAAATATTGTGACATAATATCACGTATCAGCTATTGATT